GGCTGTGCTGTGTACATAAACAATGTGAAATCTGGACTTGAGAGGTAAATGCCCTTGTGGCCGGTGGATTAGAACCTCTACCTTGTCATGGACGGTCATACAGCTGGCTGCGTCCTTCTGCAGGATTTCTGTCACCCCATTGGAGAGCCTCTCGTACTTCAGCTTGGGCTCCTCCTCGCTGTCCTCCTCCTGGTGGGGAAAGTAAGATAAGCTCCGTGTAAAACAGCACAGTGTCCTCCAACAAACACTGTAGTTGACAATGTTCTTTGACAAAAAACCTAGAAACTAAAATATAACAAAGTGTACGCCACAAGTCATAACAATTCTGTATTCAAATCTAAACTGTTCTGAAACAAGTGAGAATAAGTTCAACAAAGGGGTGGAAACAGGTCTTTATGCAATATATTTTCACCACAAGTCTTCATCTTCAAATCAATTATTTGTGTCCATCAGACAAAGTATAAAACTAAAAACGTAACCATTCAAAGCACCCAAGGTACATTTGTGATTTATGATCAAATCGGCCACAAAAACAATTGACATGACTTGAAATATTGTTTGTTTTTACATTTTGCCTAGAAGTATACATATGGCAATATAATTCATACCGATACACTTCCAACTTATCACATCATAATGCAATAAAGAAATAGCCTCGTCAAACACATCATCACTCATTCTTACATAATGATATAGTTTTGCTGATTATATTGGGTTGAAATTAGCCAGTTTTTGCAAACACTCAGAAAAATGATAGACCGCATTTATCTTTATTTAACTTGAACAAAAAAAACCATCCCCTCAATTTAGGGCTGAAACTAAACTGGTTTATTAATCTTTTAATTTTGTTCTTGATCGAACGCTTTGTGCATAAAATATCAGGAAATAATAATGCTACTGAAATGCAGGATAACCCCATTTTTCATGAGGCCATTCATCCCTAGTGACATACATGGATTTAGTCATTTCATAAAGCAAACCTAAGGTATTCTACTGTGTTACACCTTCCAGCCGGAGCCAGCATTTGTGGCCAGTCACAGCCTGAATATTACCCATAATTCAGTTTATAACCAATGCTGCACAGTGTGTGGCTGCCCAGAGGGTGCATCAACTCAAAACATTGTCTGCCATTATGTGCTACTGGGTTGGAGGTGGGGGCCGAGAGCGTGGAAAAAATGTTATTTTCAAAAACAATCCTTTCCCACTCAACAACGCCATATCCAGGCTATTTCCTGTGTATTCTGGTTGTGAGATTTCTGATTCGGGGGCATTTGTCACGGCTTTCAAAGGTGTATCAAACAACAAAGGCAAACTTCATCCTCAGAGAAATCCAACCAATCTTCAAACTTCTGCCATCTCCTGTAAGTTGCCTTTTGTTTCGTCAACTGGTAATGGGTTGGAACCATTTTTGCCATATTACATGCCGGTTGAAAGTTCAGATTAAATAGGCTGAACCAAAATGTCTTTCTACAATAAGGATACGATACTGCTTTCAAATACACAATGACTTCAGCATGAGAAAAGAAACAATCTTTAAAATAGTATCATCCCCCCATGTTTTTCTGTCTGAATATTAGGCAAAATCTAAATAAATGAGTAAAGACACTTGAAAAATGCAGGTAAAATAATGGGAATCTTACGCTATACCTTAACCTGATATTATCTCAAACACAGATTTAGGGAAACATGTTTGATAGTGCTGTTCTGGAGGCTTTTGTCGTCTTAAAATCTACCTAAGACACCTACATTTGCCTACCACATTTTGTGCATTTTAGGAACATATAGACATTTTGTGAGTAAATCATTTGTAATTTGCCCTGTTTTCAGTCAACTACAGACCATTTTAGCCATATGTTTTGCCTTTTGGAAGTTGATATACAACAAGCTGTACCATCTTTGGGTCCATATAAAAAAAATTTAAATACACAAGGACCAAACAAGATGTACATTAAGGCAGAACAGGAGGACATACCTTCCTAAATATTAGGAAAGAAAGAAATCCACAACTTCCAACTCAGCATGACTGATACACTTACAATATATAGGTTTCAAAAAAATTGAAAATAAAATAATAAAATATACTACACACCTTTCATAGCAAAGTTACACATTGTGTTTAATAAAACAGATAACACATTAAAAACACATATTAAATGAACTAAATGCGAAAATCTAAAAACACATAATAAAACTGATTTTTCTTCCTGATTCTCCAAACTCTCCAGTATACATTTGCAAAGTAAACCTGATTATTTTTGTTTCACTGCTTAAGTTAGGGCCAAAATGAGCAATAAGTCACTGTAGTATTTGTACGTGTCATCTGCTGCTAAGGGTTTGATCCACTGTACTCCGTCCAAAGAGACAATGAATGCTATTTCCTTGACAATGTGAGGCATCAAAACAAGAGTAACACCAACCAGGCTGATTGGTGTACATGTTAAAACAATTCAGACAATTCTGGCTCAATTACAAAGGTGGTCAGGAGTTGTCATTTCCTTTTAAGAACAAATTGTTATCTTGCTAATTTTGCTCTGTAATTAGCATTATATTGAGCATACAAGCCCTGCTTTGAATCCAAGTACAGCAGCAAGCTTCATTATTTTTGAAGTATTTTAGTAAGCAATCAGCTGTGTGCAGCTACTTGGAGGAGAGCCACAACCCCACAGTCCTTAATACTTAGTTCTACAGCACTAAACTCAGGTGCTCTCTCCATTTCCTTTTGCTCTCTCCTAACTGTTGTCTTCTGCAAGCCCTTGCTTGATATTTCATTCAATTCTCTGCTTCCTATAAAGACACCCCCCTTCCTGCTAGGCTGATGTATAAAGCTATATTTTATTTAGCCTACTTGTGATTTTCAGAAGCACAAGTGTACTGTAACATGCCAAAGCTCAGTCATAATATTGATGGATCTGGAGGGCTATATGTAATTCATGAGTGTTTGACACCTCTCAAAACCTGACAATGATCCGTACGGGATCAAGCTGGGTTGATAAAGTCTGGCTATGTATTGCAGTCCTTTCAGCAGGCAGCAAGCTTTAGTTGAGTTCAAAATCACCCATGCTTGACAGAACTATGCACACCCCTGTCATTGACGATATGCTGCTCTTGATGCATTTCTACATTGACATACTGGTGCAACTGCATGACATTTTTAGGGTTGGTTTTTTTGCCCTCTTACCACTAATATTATATTGAACCCCTCTCACTCTTTTTCTTTTTTTTTTGTAAGGAAAGGAAATGGTTGAAAGTGATGTTTCTTACCTCAGACTCATCTGTGAATTCCTCACTTTGTTTCCTGCCCTGGATGAAGAAACATTAGGATTGTGTTATTATATTAAAGCAGCAAATCATACAGTAAAAGTCTAATTTGATTTGAGAGTACATTAGAATACAACTGAACTCAAAACGAAATTAAGCAGCGCATTACAGCCATATATTAATTAGAAAAGACAACATATCAAATCAATGTAACGCTATCAAACCACAAATGTACCCTTTTTACAACATAGAAATGGCCAGAAAACGAGCTAAATAAAGGCAAAGTGTAGCTGACATTTGTCTCCGATCACAATTCGTATTTATGTTCATGCATACACGTATAAAACATCAACTTTAGCAAGCTAGCGTTAGCATGATATGCTTACCTGCTCCACTTCCGCCATCGTTATGAGCTATATATCCGAACAGAATATGAATAAAGTCTCAATACGTTGTCAGAGAATACATGTTAAGTCCACAAAACCTCAATTAGGTTAGCTTCATGTCAAACATATCCACTATACAACAAAGTGATGTTTGTTGTGGAAGCCTGCTCCCTCTGTCATAAGGAAAATCACATGACAGAGACAAAGCCGTGAAGCATTATGGGTATTGAAGTTGTTCTGGTAGACGTCAATCGTCGATAGTAGAGGAGGTGAGTGACACTAATTTACGACAGGTGTGTGTTTTTATGTGTTTTTAACGTGGTATATGTATTTGCCATAAGCATTCCTTCCTTTTTAACAAAGTTATTGCCTTTGTTTTATCATTTTTATTTTTATTTGAGCAGTTAACTAAGCTAGCACAATTCTGGAAACGTGACCGTTAGCTTATATTGTCTGTGGGATAAGTTTAAGGTCTTAAACTTTCAAAGTATTAAACTGCGCCTGCAACTGGTAGGTTATTAACCACACGTCATATCTTTATAGAGGTTTTATTACAGCTATTTAAACTATTTCATTGTGCCAAATTCAATAAATGACTGCTTGCTTAATTTACGCCCTCCAAACTTTTCCAACGAGGATACAACATTTCGAAGTAGCTATTTTTGTAGTAAAGTTAGTTTCATTAAGTTTTTTCATTATGGTACTACTTTTTCTTTTGAAAATATCTCATTAAAATACTATTTCCACATTCAACAACGTCATGGGTAATTCTTATGCATATTAAGTATGTTTAATTGTACTGTTAATGGTTTCGTACTTAAGAGGAGTTTAAATTCAGGACTTACATTTGTAATGGAGTATTTTTACACAGTGTATTGCATACGTGTATTGCTGTAAAATGTGAGGAATGTGTACATGTACTGACACATATTCCAAAAAATAACTTTAAATTGTTGTTGTACCTCACAGATGGTATTATTGTTATTATATATTTGTTTGTTGTATAGAAACATGCATCATGTTTTTTTAATGTACACACTGATTATGTTTTTTGGTATGAGTACAAGTTGATGAATGAAGTTGTATAAAATGCAACGTATACATCACATTATACAGTAAAGTACTTGAATATGCCTAGGTACACTGGAATGGGACTGCAGATTTTCCTTATATGTCGCTGTTATTGAGGGAATAAACTCTGCATTCTAATATTTGTATGCTTATAATGTCAGAATGAGAGTTTAATATCTGAACATTTAAACAATGTAGAAGGCTGTGATCATGCATGTTCCAAAGACAGTCAATTAGCTTATTAGTTTTGTATATTTTCCAGACATTCCTGGACTTGATGGCCAAATGAGTCCCTCAGATATGAGTCGCCTTGCCTGGTCCTTCTTCAGCCTGCTGACAGCTGCTTGTCAGAGTCCAGATGAATGCCAAAGGTATGATTTGCCTCTTCTTTATTGAGATTGTCTCACACCCCCATCTCGCCTCATCCATCCTCAGGAGAATCCTAATGCACTGATACCAAGGGGGAATCATTTTTTTTTTTTTTTACAATCTACTTAGCAATGATTTATTGATTGCGGCTTCCACCCTCGCAGAGAATTACCGATCCTTTTTGGGAAATCAGATTTTCACACCTTTCATGAGTGTGTATGTGGCGCAGGTCTCCAGAGACAGTGTGAGGGGAAACTGACTTTGAGAAGCAGCGGTGTGTGAATCTCTGCGGTGTCACTCCTCTGCCGCCACTGCCATGCCCCATGAATGGCCCTATGATTCTCTGCTGCTCTCTATAGTGCTGCATTATTTATCCGCTGATAAATACACTGTCCGAGCTTGATTTCAATATGATTTCATTCCCTTTCAAACCTTTATAAACATTATTTCGCCCACTCTCGTATCATAAGCATGCAGGTGAAATCCCTTGATGTTTAAGCATTTCATAGATTTTTTATTTTTTTTAAACAACCCTTGCCCTCATAGGAGGAGTTGGATTAGTGTGCTGAAAGCTTTGATGCTCCAGAATGTCAGCGCCGTGGATCGATTTAGCAAAACACACACACACACACACACCTGACCAATCAGAGCCGTCTATCTGTTGTGGCCCTGCTGGGCACCGTGGTTTACAAGCTTCAAAGAGCTCCTTTTAATACACTGCTTTGATAGCCCTCAGCCTTCACTGACCCACCGACCATCCACTGGGGAGCATTTTAGCTTTAGTGGAGTAGAGAGGAATAACTGCTCATCATATTAATGGGTGTGAAAATCTACTTAAACTCCTGGCGTGCTAGTCCAAAAAGTGTATTATAGTTATAGTTCCGATTTTACCTAGTTCAGGTAAAATAATGCAAACCTGCTGTATTTTTCATGATTAGCTCACAGAAATTATACACATCATTAATATATATTTACATGCATTAGGGGCTTCAGGGAAACTACGTAAAGATTCACTTAACATAATGGAGGGGAACAGTTTGGTTAATAACCCTAAGGGGGAGACAAATCATCATCTAACACACCACATTAGACATTTCAGTGTTTGGATATGTGCCTAACACAGCAGAGTAAACCAGCTGCACAGTTATTCAAAATGGGTGAATCAGGAATATATTTGACATTTGGCTATTATGTTAACACAAACAATGAAGTGTTCGGTATTTAGTTCTTGAACACATTTTTTTATTACTATAACTTGAGTAGAATTATTTTTAAAACACCAACATGTTTGTCATCTTTAATCTTACATTATGGTCTTACAAAATCATATTTTGTGCAAAACTGTTTGAAAGACGTTATCAAAGCTCATTAAGCCATCATTTCTTTTAAATTCAAATGTATTCCTGGATCAACAATAACAGCACGACTGAAAAGATGCCACATTCACTTATTTTACTGCAGTAATGATTCGGACAATAATTTTGGCAGTATTCGCGTCCTTTCACTACTCGGGTCATAATAATTGCATTACAAGCTTCCAGCTCAAAACTAATCAGCTAATGACATTTATTTGCTTTTTAGCCAATTTCGACACTTAGAGCATTGATAATGAGTTTAAAATAAAGCTGGAATAGATGGATTGCAGCCAATACATGATTTGTGTGGTGCTTAGTAAACATGACAATCAAGAGAAACACGTGATGTGAAAACATGGATGTTAATTAGAACATGTGATGTCTGAAAGGGAAGTCTCTCACATCATGGGGTGACATTTGGGTTAGTTTGAAGCCTCACTTTAACAATCTAAATGGTTTATCAAGTCACAGATGTGTTGAGCACTTTCCCAGCATGCTCTAGGCCTATTCAGGAAAATGGATGGGTCAACAGGGCATTAAGGAGTAGAAAACTCATAATCTTTGGCCCAATTTCATACTTCCTACTAATTCTGAGCAGGATAGAATATGTAGTGTGTCACTGGAAATAAAAGAAAATTAAGTATGCAAATTAATGTCACTATCTATGCATACTGGAGCTGCAAAAATAGTACACTAATTAGACTGGTTGACATGAGGATATTGGCAAACAAAAAATATTGTTGTGAGAGAGTTCTGGTTTATAGTGCTGCAACTAGCAATCATTTTCATCCTCATTAAACTGCCTATTACTTTTTCAATTAATCGATTAATCATTTTGTCAGAAAATATTGAAAAATGACCTCATTCAACAGCACAAGATGATGTATTGCTGATTTTATTGCTCATCAGTTAATTGAATATCTGGGTTTTATATGAGAAAGTAAAGAATCGGATAATACAATTTTTAAAAGCTTTAAAAGACATTTTTTGGAAGATGAATGATAACTGGTAAAACTTTACTCGTATGCACCCGTACTGTCTTCAGCTACTTCTGTGGCCTTGCTGTTATCTCCAACCTATTACTACAACATCGGCAGACTTCTATTTGTCCATTTAATATGTAACTTGAATTAAATTCTTCAACAGTTTAAATGATGTGCTTCAGTCAGTGTACTGCAACATTTTCTTTTAGTACAAAACAGAGAAATATATAAATGTGTTGTTGTCACTGCTAACTTAGTATGTATTAACAGCTTAAAATATCTGTTTGGGCATGTTGAACACTGTTATGTAACAGTATGAGAGATACAACGATATTAAGCTGAGTTTTTTTTTCTTTTTCTTGAATAACCAGAGGAGCCTGGAGTGTTGGAGTGGAGTGTGATGGTCTCCGGCTGATACCCCTCACACAGTGTCCCTCACACTGGGACATCACTGGTAAGACCACTAGCTATTAGCATGGGTATCTGATGACGCTCGGGACTCTCTGCTAGCCACCGATTATTCGGCTGCTGCGGGAAGCAGAGGAGGGATCGAGTGCTTTTTCGTGTTCCTGCAACCTGTTCCTGAGCTGTGGCCAGACTGAGTGAACAGAGAAGAAATGAGACAAACCTCCCTCATGTCTGCTCCCGCCAACTCCCAAACACACACACACACACACTTGAAAAAACTCACATTATTGCTTTAATCAGAGGTCTGAGGGTTACTTTAAAAAATGAAGCTAATCCGTTACACATCCACTGCTTAGAATCAGTAATGCAATTTCTTATGGTAATTTCTAAATATCCCTTTTTATTACGGATTTTTACAATAAGATTACCGTTATCCCATTACGCGTAATTACATTACTACCTGAGCTTGAATTGAGAAACACACCCATTCCAGAGGCATGATTGCAAATAGGCAAAGCAAACTGTTTTGAAATGAGGTAATTAACAGCTGCGTACGATGCTGAGAGATGTGTTGCCCCCTTATCCTCGAGCCTCAGAGGCCAGGGGAAGATTAGAGCTCTGATCTCATTCCCAGCACTTGTTTGGAGTCTGTCAGGAAGAGAAATGCCAGCATTAGAGAGGTACCGCCACACTCCTGATATGATGAAATAAGGAGAAAAGGGGAAAGGGAAAAAGATGGAGGGATGGACAGAAAGGACCCTGCCCTGCTCTGAAGTGTCAGTAGCTTGTTTATTCTATATTTCATCGTAGCTGCTGGGGCAAAGATTCCCATTTTTCCTTTATTTTTTTCCCCTCACCTCCCTTACAAAAACCAATGCTCTCATTTTGTATCGCTCTTGCAAACTCTCATGCCCCAGTGAAAATTACATTGTGAAACGGTAGGAATTTCAGAGCTGCCTGTGCTCTCCCCTGTCCCTCTGAGCATTCAAACAGTCAACAGACTGTGAAGAATAAATAATAAAAAACTATTGATTATTTTGATGACTGCAAGATTCAATTAGGTATTAATTTTGCCCTCCAGTGGACCTATCAAGCAACTCAAAGGAGAGGAGGAAGGAGGTGGAGGGGGGGGGTCCAAATGCATGCAGAGTGGCCAGGCTCAGACAGAGGGGAAAATGTGTTTACCTCGGCGGGCGGAGAGGTGCATTGATGCGCAGTGTCCCACATTTAAGTGCTCCACAAATGAAGCGCTGATGACTAGTGACATTGTTACCAGGGATATGAGTATTGACCAGCCACCTCACGTTTTTAACGACAGCTTAAACTATTTCTATTGATTAACATTTTCATAGATTATCATGTGTCATATCAAGGAGGGCTGATTCCCGTGATGAGCACATTAAAAAATCCCCTCTGGGCAGGGACTCATCGACCACCCTGATAGAAGTGGGAGGTGGGGGTGTTGGGAGTGCAGGGAGTGCAGGGAGTGCAGGGGCAATATTAGACCTCTATTTTTCTTACTGTGCCTATATGTGCTGGTCTCATGTTTAAATATATTTAGGTTGGACTTTATTCATAAATAAGCAAGGGGCCGTAGTCCTGCTGTTTTGTGTCCCTCTCAGAGCCTGAGGTGGGGTGAACACTGTCTGAGGAGCTCTCCAGTCTCAGGACACAAGGGGGAAGAGACAGGGGGGGTGTGTTTGTGTGTGTGAGGGAGGGAGAGAGAGAGAGAGAGGGAGGGAGGAGGTGACATTTCCAGTGCCTGTCTTTGGAAGAACCTCAGGCTTGAACCTGTGGTGGCTCTTCAGATACACGCAGGTTGGAGGCTGATCCTAGTTCAGTAGAAACATGTACTGCTCTCTGCGCTGTGGTGGCATGTTTTAGCTGCTGGTCCCCTGACGTCAACATTTGGACTTTCTGAAACTCTTTTTTTTACTCTTTTTGTCTGGAGCTTTGTTTAGGTAAGAGCAACAGCTTTTAAGCAACTTTGGATATTTTCAGAAATCATAAAAAATTCCTTGGTAAAATGTCCGGATCAAAGCATTCAAACCTTTTAATGGCATTCTTAAAATGCTCTTCTTACAGGTTATTTTTATTTTTATTTTTATTTCAAAAGTTCCTAATTTGTTCTCTTTGCTGAGTTTATTCTATTCCAATATGTTCAGACAGATTATGCTCTTATCATGACATTTAGACCATCTCCATGTTAGTTTCTAAGTGCTGACAAAAGAATGAAAATAATTGGGAGGACATTTTGGGAATATCAGCGACTTCATCTCTTGTTAAAATCAGGCCTTAAGTTCATGTTGCCTCATACTCTGCTGCAACATGTCACCTTTGATCTCATTGTGTGTCCCCAAATGTAGGCAAATTGATGTAATCACTGGTGTGTATTTTCGCTCATGTTTTCTTTTTATATGTAGAATTCTATTTATTTCATGTGTTTCTCAGCGCACAGCCTGTGGACCTCTTTGCAGACTGCTGTCAGCTTAGTGTGTGCTGAAGATGAGGCACATGTCAGGTAGTAATGAGCCCTTGGAGATGGATGTAAGATAGTTTTAGGACTGCAGGGTATAATGGTAACGCCACGCGATCCGTAACCGTTCTTCACCAGGCAGCAGCCGGCAGTATCAGCGGGGTAGCACCAGCCTCAGATAAAAGAGAGAGCTGGAGAGGGAGGGAGCAAGAGAGAGAGAGAGAGAGAGAGAGAGAGAGAGAGAGAGGGAGAGTGATGAGTGAGCGATAGAAAGGAGAAGCTGGGTAGAGAGAGAGTGAGACATAGAGAAGGAGCCGGTGAGGGTGAGACGCCAAAGCACATATAACCAGGGGTGTTTTCTCTTTTTTTTTCTCCTCCCTGTTTCCCACCTGGGCTCCCAGCTCCCTCCAGGACCCGATGATTACAGGGCAGCTGAGCAAGCCGCTGCTCTCCCTGCGCAGCGACATGAGCGCAGCAGAACTCCGGGCGGACGACAAAGCGGCCACCCCAGACAGCGATCTGAACGACGAGCCCCTGCTCCTGCCCTCCGAGGCCACGGACAGAGAGGGCACTCCAAACAAGCTGTACGGTAAGTCGGCTCACGTCTGTTTCCTCTATTTCATAAAGTGTCTGTCTGAGGTCTGGTGCTGAGAGCTTCCAGTGCTGGGACAGGTGTCAGCAGTGTCAGGCAGCAAACTAACTTTCAGTGCCAGGACCAAGTCGATGTTCGGCTCCCTTAAAGATTGGATATCTGTTTTGGGAAATTGTATTTTGTGTATTAAGATGTTTCATGTACTTTCAGTCTCCAGATTCTCCGATAGGGCAGTTCCTTCTTGTAGGGGACAGTTAAAAGTGTAGTGACAGTAATGCGGAAGATGCAGTACATTTTTATTGCACTCACTGTCTTGAATATAGGATACACTGCGTGCTTTATTACTGTTGCATATTTTGTGGCAGGATCTCTGCATGACCCTTCTTTATATTAAAAGTATTTCAAAGTTTAAATTAACAATTAAAAGTCAGATTGGACCTGTCAGGAAAATGTGTGTTCAAACCCCCCCCTCACAACCCTGATTGTGTGCGGTAATATTGTTTCCTTTTTTGTTAATTCCAATGGAGAAAATATTATATTTGTTGTAATGTTTGAATTAATAACAACTTATGCTGATACAGAATAACTTAGTGCTGCTGAGGGAAATTAAAACCTATAATTTATGTTTCTATCATCAGATGTATTATATTTTTATACTTTTTTAAATTGCAAGGACTTTTCAGTTTATTATCTAATTTTTGGTCTAAATGTTCAGTTTCAAATGATCTTCAAAATTAGCCAAATTAAAAAAAGGCTCATTAGTTTTGTATTTAGCTCATTAAGATGACACTTTTTTTTTTGGTTTTGTTTAAATTAATTATTACGTGGTCTGGACAAATGAAATCCCTGAACCTCATTATTTAGCAAAAAGCATAATTGTATAAATTACTATTTTACTAAATGTATAAATTATTTTTATTTATACATTTGCTAACATTTGTATATATATGATAATGTAGCTGTTTTACTGAGGAGAAAGTCAGAGAGATAATAATAATTATCATTACCATTATAAATAATAAGAAATAATAAAAAAATGGAAAAGTAATAGGAATAAATTGCAGTGCAGTAACAGCAGATTAAAACAATTTGTCCCTGATGGATACATTTTACAATTGTATCTCCACTTAACAAATTAATTCCAAAACTCTCTTTTTAATTTCTTGAACACAGTAAGACGATTTGAAGAGACCATTCTATATTTTTGCAAATTAAATGTAAATATTTTAATTATTTGTTTTTCATTTGGATGCATTGTGACACAAATCCCTCTCCTATTGCTTTAGATGCTAGTTTTTGTTTTGTACATTTATACAAACTAACACTTCAGCTTGTCTGTTTTTCATTTTCTGAAAGTTCAACTGTGTGTTTATTTGTGTATGTGCATGTCTTAGTGTGTACGAGTGTGCAACTCTGGCATATACTTGTGTTATTGCTGGTTATTAATGTATACTGCAGCAAACAGTGCATACTGTCAGTTGTTCTCCATTTGAATGGGAGTTGTTAATAGAATACGGTGTGTGTGTGTGTGTGTGTGTGTGTGTGTGTGTGTGTGTGTGTGTGTGTGTGTGTGTGTGTGTGTGTGTGTGTGTGTGTGTGTGTGTGTGTGTGTGTGTGTGTGTGTGTGTGTGTGTGTGTGTGTGTGTGTGTGTGTGTGTGTGTGTGTGTGTGTGTGTGTGTGTGTGTGTGTGTGTGTGTGTGTGTGTGTGTGTGTGTGTGTCCTGGGAAGTGGCAGAGTATAGTTCCTATAGCTTTGCTGAACTTTGGTGATCGCAATAAAATAAGGATTTAGGCAAGGGAAAGCAAAATATAGCAAATCAGCGAGAGTTCAGCTGTCTTTTAAGTCCTTTTTTCAAGAATAACCCGAGGCGAGAGTCTTCTAAACAAGGGCAATGTACTGCAGGATTTGTCTCAGAAGTCTTGCTATTTGCTTTAATAAGCATCAAGTCACTCTCTCCTTCTTTCTTCATTTCTGATTAGTCTCTATCCGAGTCCTCTCCTGCTGCTCTCTTGTTACTTTCTGCTTCTCTTTTCCAAATGCACACACACTTAATTGTTGTTAAATGCTTTCATATTAATTTTAAATGTGCAGCTTTTTCGGTTTTATTAAATCCGCCTTTGTCAATAAGAAGTAATTTAGGAAAACAGTGCGTATTACATTTGATCTATAATAGGATGTTGTCCTTATTTCGTGCTTCTGTGATGGCCTGTGTGATGGCTGGTTGCATCCTCTCCTGTGAGAGTTTTTCGGGGGAGATGGTTTCTCTCTGGCCGGTGGCTGAGCCCCAGGCGGTGCCATCGGCAGGTTTGATTTGGGAAGCGTTGCCCACATGACCTGTCAGACAGAGAGAAAGGCCGGGCGGATGTGGAGACGTAGCACAGTCGTGTCTTTTGCTGGGGGATATAGGAGGGAAGAATGAGAGAGGGTGGGGGTGGAAGGAAAGAGACTCAGCAGTTTTCAATACATTTCCTTAAATGCTATCAGACAGAAGGGAAGGGTTTGCTTATATAGATTAGTCACACATGTATTTTTTACTCATTTTGGAATCTGGTTAGTAATCTTTTTTTAATATTTATTTGAAGTTTGTGTGAACCTTTTGGAAACTTTAAGTGAATTATATTACCTACTGATTGAAGTCTGTAAAACCTCTCTAAAACCAATAAAGTGTAACACATGTGGCCATAAAGGTAAAAGTATCCTGACATTTTGAAGATGTTCACGTAAACACAAGCAGTTAACTCTCATGGTCATTAGGAGATTATATATATATATATATTATAAGTTTTCAATTTTGCAACATGAATGCCACATATATAAAAAAAACAACCGTGAACTGAGCCTTTAAACTAAAGGCCTTTCATTATTCACTGGTTTTCTGTATGTGGTTCAAAACTGCGAAGAAGCCACCATATTACATTTCTTTCCCCTTTACTTGCAAGAATATTGTGTAACCTCAGTTTCAGAGTATCCAAAAAACTTTGTTCGTCTTTATTGCTTTTATTTAGCGTAACCTCTCTGATACAGTGCTCCAATTTAATGACAGACATTTTCACAAAGACATACTCTCACCCCAGGCACACAATAACAGCACACACACTTAACAGTTTCAATGAAACAAGTCATGTTTTCAAGGAAATGCAAATGAGACCTAATTTGCTCCTCTAGAATTCAAGTATTACTGTATCAAACAATGAAGACATAACAACGATGATTTTGAATGCAGTAAAACTGAACCCATCTTTACTATACTATAGTTTAATAACATGCACACACACATGAATACACAGTGTATGATTGACATAGTTGTATGTTTAGCCTGTTAGTCTCCTGCTGATACTGCTAATTGGTTTTATACTCCCTAAATAAATATGCAAACACTTTTGTCGCTTGGGTTTTTTGTTACAAAAAGTGTAATAAAAAAAATGCAAGTTGTACCTTAATGGGCTGCAGCTATCTATTAGTAATGTATTAATAGGGATCAAGTGTTCTATCGATCATTTTAATAAGTAATAAGCACAAAAGAGAAAATAGTACAACTAATAACAACTAAAATAATCTACTTGTGTTTTTCTTAAGTTGTATAAAATATTAAACCCATTTTTGCATTTCATTTCCAAATGACATTCAGATTTAGAAGGCTCCAGAGTAACTTTTCCTGCCACCGTCGTGACAAATTGCCTTGATATTGAACATGTTTAATCAGCTTTGAACTCTGATATCGCTGCATGTGTACTTTGTGCTGCAATAACATGTGCCATGCTATATATGGTATTTGTTTTCATACCGAGAGCGCCCGCCACAACTTTTCCTCCCTGCAGAGTTGATGTATGACTTTAGTTTTAGTCCCCTAATACTATGCATAAGAGCTGAGAAGGACGAGGCAGTCGGAGACAGTGACAGTAGCGGTCATGTTTGTCTACAGTAAATTGTCCACCTTCTACACCCACCACATGCTTACTGCAGTGGTGAAAGGGTCGTTCTCCTAAAAGCTTGCCTGTGCAAATAGTCTTCCACTTCAGCTAACAGGGGCTACGAGGCACCACAAACATCCTGCCGCCGTGTATTTATTCCAAGTAGAAGTGGACATTAGGTGGGAAAGCTGTGGTTAGTAGGGCAAGCCATTTTTTTTCAAAGGACGGGATGGTGTTGGATGCGTACAGTTTCTGTCTTCTCTTCTCAAGCAAATCTCCCCCTTTCAGACATCAACAGACAAGATAATAAGACACTCAGAGCACAATTCCGTATTATATTCAGCAACCAAAGGCTCATCTCTTGTCAGTTTGCATTTACTCTCCCAAGGATGTGACGCTTCTATCATCATGCTGTCAAAGGAAGCCAGGCTGGAACGACAGGAGCACTCATTTCATACACTTACTGTCTACATGAAATGGTCTGCACTTATTCGGATTCTGCCAAAATGGTGGAACATTTTCACAAAGGTCACCTAGAGATTCCCCTCCCCAAAAGAGCAAAAATAAATCTTTCATTGATTCCTGCTATTGGAGGTCATTCAGAACAAAAAGTGCAAACCAAATGCCACAGCTTCTGAAATGCTGCTCCTAGCTTTTATGTATTTCCAGGTCTATTGGGCTTCACTATATCACACAATAAAGTGATATTCATTTTATCTGGACTATTAATTGACTGATCACCCACACAGGACCTTTTATGGAGAGTTCTTAGAGACACATGATTAGAACAGTTGCAGACCTTCTTCCTTTCCTTTTAATAGTGCTTTAAACACATTTTTTATTTTTTTTATTTTTTTGCATAGTTCTGCTCCAATTTTCACCTTTCTACTGTAATATTGTATTTGGCTTGAAAGAAACCAAATTCAGTTTACATGGAATCAAAGAGGTCTGTTTTTTGCAATAAAACTGTTTTCTTTTTGGAGTTTGTCTTGGAGATAAAACATGTAGCCAGTGGCGGCCGGCCCATAGGGGCGCTAGGGGCGCCGCACCCCCTCTTCCCACATGTTTGATTGTCATTCAAAATT